CATATGACTTTAGCATCGTGCCAAAAATGCATTTTTTCCACCCATAAAAAGGTAATCTGGTGGAAAACATGCAGATTTACATTATTGGAAACATTATGCAAACAAAACAACAAACTCTTTGCTCCAAAGACTTAAGTATTAGTTTCACCTGGCTTAATTTAATAGAAAAAGTGTATTTAATGAATCTTTGGCTAGCCAAAAAAAAAAAAAGGTGTCACGTGGTGTGAAGAAACAAACAAAACAAACAAACAGCGTTTCAGCTATTGTCTTAAAATTAAAAGCTGACTTTTTAAACTCCGTTGTTAATAAAACTGCAATCAGATCTTTTTAAATGCACTTCGGCTGCAGCTCACGTGTTCAATGCACGTTTTAAATCAAGTAATTCGCCTTTACTTTGGACAAAAACCCGACTTTGAGCTGCAAACCGTTTCTAAGGCGCATGTGGATCATTTCTGGCGTCCTTCAGCAAAGAAACACGTTTTTCCTCCATGTTGGTGATTTCTCTGAATGCACCAACCTCACTACTACACCTAGCAAACACGCGCAGCTCACTTTAAACTACAGGAGTTAATAATGAAGCGTTTCCCCTGCGGTGCAGAGCTAACAGCGTGTTGCACCGTTTCCCATCCTGTCTGGAAACACGCTGGACGCCTCATCATGACGCCCTGCGGACGTTTAGCCGCACGAGCGGCGCTCCGCTTAAACGAGCTAACGGGGCAGCTAACGTTGCTCCATCCTGAACTCGATACAACAGGTTACTGGTAGCTAAATGTGCAGAAAATGAATGAGAACCCGGGCGGCCTGAGTCCAGCATCCAGAGAACAACATGGCTGACGGGCTGAGCTAGCTGCCAGCAGCCTTACCTTCCCGCAGAAACCTTCGGAGCGCTGGGCGGGCTAGCAGCAGGCCGAGGCGGACAGAGCGGCTGTAACGGTCGGCTGAGGATCGATGGAGGGTCGGGGAGCAAAAGGAAGGAAAGCCGAGAGATATCAGACTCCTTCGGCGGTAGTTTGGGAGCAGTCTGCGTCTGCCTGCGGCGCTCAATCACACAATAGCCTGAAACGCGTTGCTAACATATACAACCAGCCCCTTTCTGCCCGCCAACAGCTCCACCGGATGTTGCGTCATCGCTTTTTCATCCTTTTGTCCACCATGAAAATAGAGATTTTCTTTTTTAAAGAACATTTTTTTTTTTTTTTTTACGCAAAGAGAATTGCCAGAATAAATAAATCGCGTCACAAGTGATATTTTATAAGATTAATGCAGTGGAAAAAATAATGCAACTGATTTTGGCATTTACTAGATCATATTTAAGTACTTTAACACAATTGTTTTTGATGTTAGCAGAGTACGACATAAAACAATTGTGTTAAAGTAACCAAATACCAAAAGTGGCTGCATTATTTTTTTTTCAGTGTAACCTATTTTGCAGAAACCTTAGAAAAGGTTTTACAGCTGCCTTTTGT